ACGATTATTTCTGTTTTCAAAGCGGAAACGTCACTAGAGCAAAGGATCATGGGACATTGAGTCTCTGAGTGATTTGGGGGTTTTGTCTCTTTATGTTTTTATTTTCCTGTCAAATGTTTTTCGATTTTTTTTTTCGAAGTTCATAAAATAAAAGTCTCTTCCTCTCTCTTCCTCTCCCTCCATCCTCTCTCTCTCTCTCTCTCTCTCTCTCTCCACTTTCTGTCATTTGTTCTTGTCTCTCCTTGTTTTCTCTTTTTCACTTTTTCTTTTTGTTCTTTCTTTTCTCTCTTTAACTTCTTCTGTCTGTTCTCCATCCCTCTCTTCCTCCTCTTTCTCTTATATCCTCTTTTCTCCTCCCTCCTTTCTCTTCCTCCATCGTCACCAGTCTCCTCTTCTCCTCCCCTCCTCCCCTGTCTCTCCCTCTCTCTCTCTCCTTCTCTCTTTCTCTCATCCATCTTTGCTCCTTCCTTTCTCCCTCTTTCCACTCCTCCACTCTCTCTCTCTCTCTCTCTCTCTCTGTACTCCCTCCCTTATTTCTCCCCCCCATCCGTCTTTCTCTCTCTCTTTCTTCTCTCCTCTTCCTTCATCCCTCTCTCCTCCCTCTTCTCTTCCTCCATCTCTCTCCTCCTCGTTCCTTTCTCTCTCCACGTCTCTCTCTCCTCTTTCTATTCCCTTTCCTCATCCGTCTTTCCCTCTCCTCCCTCTCTCCTAATCTCCTTCCCTCATCCCTCCCTCTCTCTCTCTCCTCCGCTCCGTTCAGCGTCTCTCCCTCCTCTCCTCCCTCCTCCTCCCTCCTCCCTCATCCCTCTCTCCTGTCGTCTGTTCCCGGGGCTGTTGGTGTTTCTCTTCGTCTGTTTCTCGGATCTGTGTCTTTTTCTTCTCCTTGTTTTTTCTTTTTTTTTTTTTTTCTTTTTTTTCTCGGATGTTCGGACGCGATGACGATCCACAAATCTGTGCTCCGGGACCACGGACAGCGGTACCGGCCGCGCATGGCCTGCCTCCCCAAGGTACCGAACCCCCCCAGAACCTCCCCGAACATCCCAGAACCTCCCAGAACCTCCCAGAACCTCCCGACTCCCCGACTCTCCCCGACTCTCCGAACCCCCCGACTCCCCGACTCTCCGAACCCCCCGACTCCCCGACTCTCTCCCCGACTCTCCCCGACTCCCGGAGCCGTCTGACTCTCACACCTGAGCCGCGACACCGGAGCCGAGACGCGACCCGGGGGAAGAAAAACGGGATTTTTAAGTTGAGGTTTTAAATTTCACGTTTTTATTGGTAGAAACTCAGACAGAAACCCGCGATTTACCGAGACACGCGTTTACGTCAGTGCGTGTGACGGGTCATTTATAAGATGATGATGATTATTATTAAGTTATTTATTTAAGCTGTTTATTGACGGGTTTTATTTATTTTATTTATTATTATTATTATTATTGTTGTTGTTGTTAATTTTATTATTATTTTTATTTAAGCAATTTATTTTGGTGTTTGTTTCCTATTATTTTTTATTATTTTTATTTAATTTTTTATTCAAGAGGTGTTTTTTCTATATATATATTTTTATTTCTTCTGTTATTTCTTTATTATTATATTATTTGATCTTATTATTTTTATTTAAGTTGTTTATTTTCTTTTTCTTTTACAGAGACAAACAAACGCGACATAAACGTGATTTTTTTTGTGTTTTTTTCCGTGTGTTTTTTTCTTGGACTCGTTGAACTTGTTGCTCCGACACTTAAAGAGACACAATCTTTATCGTTTTATTTGGATTATTTTCAGGTTGTGGGTTCATCACCTGCTCGTTTCCATGGAGACGTCGCTGCTCTGTCTGGGATGTTCCGCAGTGTGACTTTAAACAGTTCCACTTTACGTTTATTCAGTCACAGGAGAATTTAGAGTCAAAAACACCGAGAAAAACAAACCGACAGCGTGAGTGCGAGCGGAGTCGCCTCTCCACAGATCTGACCTGGAACTGCGTCTGGTTTGGTCTCCATGGAGATAGATAGGTTTAAGGCAACACTGTGGAACATTCCAGACAAAGAAATAACATCTCCACGGAGACGAGCGACAACAAGAAAAGTTACAGAAAAAAAAAAAAAAAAACGCACAATGAAAATGTAAATGACACTAAAGTTTGTCATAAAAGTGACACATGAAACTTGTGATCTGTGTCACGATACTAAGAAACAGACTCGATACTCCGATACTCGATACTCGATACGATACACGATACCGATTCTGATCCCACAATGAAAATAAAAACCCTCCTGTGATTTTCCACATTAAAACTTTCTTTTCTATTCCAATGTGTCCTTATATAAGTCCTGGTTTAGTCCTGGTTCAGTCCTGGTTCAGTCCTGGTTTGGTCCTGGTCCATGTGTCCTTACACATGTGTGTAGACCCTCTGTGGTCCAGGACTAAACCAGGTCTTTGACCAGGTCTAGACCAGGTCTGGACCAGGTCTGGACCAGGTCTGGACCAGGTCTAGACCAGGTCCATGTGTGCTCTAGTCTCTGTGTCTTGTCCTTGATCGTTTTAAACTCATTCAGGTTCTAAAGTTTCTGTTCTGTCGGACGTTTTTAGGATCCAGACGTGAGGAACACGAGACTTGAGTTTCAGGATGATTTTCGGTCGTACGAGTGAAACGATTTCCAAGTCTCACGATACGATATTTACTGTGATGTCGTGGGAAAGTTTGATATTCTACATAATAACAAGAGTGACATTATAAAATGTTTTGTGCATCATTTGAAGCATAAAAAAACTTTAAGTTTTGTGTCTGTAAAATGTAAACAAACGGGCACAAACATGAAACACTTGATTATTTTTTTATTTGAGTCGTCGTCAGAGGAAATAAAAAAAACAAAAACAAACTTAAATGTGATGATATTTTATATTTCGGTTCCAGTTTTTCCTCTTAAACTTTTTAAACTCGACGTCGTCACTGTGGAAAATGGATCAAATCTCTTTATTTTCTGTTGTGTGTTTGTTTTTTTCTTGAGCTGTTTCAGGCAGTTCTGGTGTAAAAGTTTCACGTGGAGTTTTTTGTCCCGACTTGATTTAGTGAAACTTTCTTCACAGTTTCTTCGTGTGGGTTTTTCTCCAGGTGAATCTGTCTGTTTGTCCCTCACCTTTTCTCTTTTCTCGTTTCGTGTCACAAACACAAAATGTTTCTTGAACTCAGACTTAAAGTCTCCAGTGCGTCGACAGCGGCGCTCAGGCCGCCGCCGCCGCCGCCGCCGCCGCCGCCGCAAAGGATCATGGTCCATGTAGTTTCCTGAGCACCACAGACTCAACATTCTGATTTTACCTAAAAACACAGTTTAATACGAGACGAGACCTCGACAGTATCGAGGGAATTTTACTACGACCATATCGTGATATCACCGATATCGATATCGATATCGATACACCTCGAGTGTGTCGTGGGGTCGAGGGTCACAGACGTTTCACTGTATCCAACTGTAGAGAAAATGTCCTCAGCATTTGACCCGACCTGTGTGTGTGTGTGTGTGTCTGTGTGTGTGTGTGTGTGTGTGTGTGTGTGTGTCTGTGTGTGTGTGTGTGTGTGTCTGTGTGTGTGTGTGTGTGTGTGTGTGTGTGTGTGTGTCTGTGTGTGTGTGTGTGTGTGTGTGTGTGTGTGTGTGTGTGTGTGTGTGTGTCTGTGTGTGTGTGTGTGTGTCTGTGTGTGTGTGTCTGTGTGTTGTGTGTGTGTGTGTGTGTGTGTGTGTGTGTGTGTGTGTGTGTGTGTGTGTCTGTGTGTGTGTGTGTGTGTGTGTGTGTGTGTGTGTGTGTGTGTGTGTGTGTGTCTGTGTCTGTGTGTGTGTGTGTGTGTGTGTGTCTGTGTGTGTGTGTGTGTGTGTGTCTGTGTGTGTGTGTGTGTGTGTGTGTGTGTGTGTGTGTGTGTGTGTGTGTGTCTGTGTGTGTGTGTGTGTGTGTGTGTGTGTGTGTGTGTGTCTGTGTGTGTGTGTGATGTGTGTGTGTGTGTGTGTCTGTGTGTGTGTGTGTGTCTGTGTGTGTGTGTGTGTGTGTGTGTGTGTGTGTGTGTGTGTGTGTGTGTCTGTGTGTGTGTCTGTGTGTGTGTGTGTGTGTGTGTGTGTGTGTCTGTGTGTGTGTGTGTGTGTGTGTGTGTCTGTGTGTGTGTATGTGTCTGTGTGTGTGTGTGTGTGTGTCTGTGTGTGTGTGTGTGTGTCTGTGTGTGTGTGTGTGTGTGTGTGTGTGTGTGTGTGTGTGTGTGTGTGTGTGTGTGTGTGTGTCTGTGTGTGTGTGTGTGTCTGTGTGTGTGTGTGTGTGTGTGTGTGGTGTGTGTGTGTGTGTGTGTGTGTGTGTGTGTGTGTGTGTGTGTGTGTGTGTCTGTGTGTGTGTGTGTGTGTGTGTGTGTGTCTGTGTGTGTGTGTGTGTGTGTGTGTGTGTCTGTGTGTGTGTGTGTGTGTGTGTGTGTGTGTGTGTGTGTGTGTGTGTGTGTGTGTGTGTCTGTGTGTGTGTGTGTGTGTGTGTGTGTGTGTGTGTGTGTGTGTGTGTGTGTGTGTGTGTCTGTGTGTGTCTGTGTGTGTGTGTGTGTGTGTGTGTGTGTGTGTGTGTGTGTGTGTCTGTGTGTGTGTGTGTGTCTGTGTGTGTGTGTGTGTGTGTGTGTGTGTGTGTGTGTGTGTGTGTGTGTGTGTGTGTGTGTGTGTGTGTGTGTGTGTGTGTGTGTCTGTGTGTGTGTGTGTCTGTGTGTGTCTGTGTGTGTGTGTGTGTGTGTGTGTGTGTGTGTGTGTGTCTGTGTGTGTGTGTGTGTCTGTGTGTGTGTGTGTGTGTGTGTGTGTGTGTGTGTGTCGTGTGTGTGTGTGTGTGTGTGTGTGTGTGTGTGTGTGTGTGTGTGTGTGTGTCTGTGTGTGTGTGTGTGTGTGTGTGTGTGTGTGTGTGTGTGTGTGTGTGTCTGTGTGTGTGTGTCTGTGTGTGTGTGTGTGTGTGTGTGTGTGTCTGTGTGTGTGTGTGTGTGTGTGGTGTGTGTGTGTGTGTGTGTCTGTGTGTGTGTGTGTGTGTGTGTGTGTGTGTGTGTGTGTGTGTGTGTGTGTGTGTGTGTGTGTGTGTGTGTGTTGTGTGTGTCTGTGTGTGTGTGTGTGTGTGTGTGTGTCTGTGTGTGTGTGTGTCTGTGTGTGTGTGTGTCTGTGTGTGTGTGTGTGTGTGTGTGTGTGTGTGTGTGTGTGTGTGTCTGTGTGTGTCTGTGTGTGTGTGTGTGTGTGTGTGTGTGTGTGTGTCTGTGTGTGTGTGTGTGTGTGTGTCTGTGTGTGTGTGTCGTGTGTGTGTGTGTGTGTGTGTGTGTGTGTGTGTGTGTGTGTGTGTGTGTGTGTGTGTGTGTGTGTTTAGATGAATAATGGAGCAGTGACCTTCTGTTTGATCGGCTTCAGTTTAATCCAGATCCTGATCAGCTCTGCTCCTGTCACTGCTCCTGTCACTGCTCCTGTCACTGCTCCTGTCACTGCTCCTGCTCCTGTCACTCTCCTGTCTCTGCTGTCTGCTCCTGTCAGTCTGCTCCTGTCACTGCTCCTGTCTCTGCTCCTGTCTCTGCTCCTGTCACTGTGTCAGTCTGCTCCTGTCACTGCTCTGTCTCTGCTCCTGTCTCACTGCTCCTGTCACTGCTCCTGTCAGTCTGCTCCTGTCACTGCTCCTGTCTCTGCTCCTGTCACTGCTCCTGTCAGTCTGCTCCTGTCACTGCTCCTGTCTGCTCCTGTCCTGCTCCTGTCACTGCTCCTGTCTCTGCTCCTGTCTCTGCTCCTGTCACTGCTCCTGTCCTGCTCCTGTCACTGCTGTCCTGCTCCTTCACTGCTCCTGTCTCTGCCTGTCACTGCTGTCTCTGCTCCTGTCACTGCTGTCTGCTCCTGTCACTGCTCCTGTCTCTGCTCCTGTCACTGCTCCTGTCACTGCTCCTGTCACTGCTCCTGTCACTGCTCCTGTCACTGCTCCTGTCGCTGCTCCTGCCGCTCTGCTCCTGTCACTGCTCCTGTCACTGCTCCTGTCACTGCTCCTGTCTCTGCTCCTGTCACTGCTCCTGTCACTGCTCCTGTCAGTCTGCTCCTGTCACTGTCCTGCTCTGCTCCTGTCTCTGCTCCTGTCACTGCTCCTGCTCCTGTCACTGTCCTGCTCCTGTCTCTGCTCCTGTCTCTGCTCCTGTCACTGCTCCTGTCACTGCTCCTGTCACTGCTCCTGTCACTGCTCCTGTCTCTGCTCCTGTCTCTGCTCCTGTCACTGCTCCTGTCACTGCTCCTGTCACTGCTCCTGTCTCTGCTCCTGTCACTGCTCCTGTCTCTGCTCCTGTCACTGCTCCTGTCTCTGCTCCTGTCACTGCTCCTGTCTCTGCTCCTGTCACTGCTCCTGTCTCTGCTCCTGTCTCTGCTCCTGTCTCTGCTCCTGTCTCTGCTCCTGTCACTGCTCCTGTCCTGCTCCTGTCACTGCTCCTGTCTCTGCTCCTGTCACTGCTCCTGTCACTGCTCCTGTCACTGCTCCTGTCTCTGCTCCTGTCACTGTCTGCTCTGCTGTCACTGTCCTGTCCTGTCACTGCTCCTGTCACTGCTCCTGTCACTGCTCCTGTCTCTGCTGCTCCTGTCACTGCTCCTGTCAGTCTGTCACTGCTCCTGTCTCTGCTCCTGTCTCTGTCTGTCTGCTCCTGTCTCTGCTCCTGTCACTGCTCCTGTCTCTGCTCCTGTCTCTGCTCCTGTCAGTCTGCTCCTGTCTCTGCTCCTGTCACAGACAATAATAAAAGTCAATATTTTTTCACACAAACGAGAGAAACTAAAAATAAAAAGACAAATGTGACAAAACAAGTTTGGATAGAAAAGATCAAACACCAGATCTGAGCTTTGACCTTCTGATATTTCACAGGAAAGTCCAGTGTGATGCACCTGTCGTTTATTTAAGTTAGAATTTAGTCTTTGCTCCCCGTGCTAAGTCCCTGCCCCTTCAGAGCCGATGTATAGGGCCCAGGAGAGATCTCTAGATGACTCAGACACGCATGGATGAATCTAGAAGCTCCTCAGACTCAAGTGTTTGAGGAGGAACGTTTTTAGAACATGAGAGAAAAAGACAGAAAATGTGCAGTTTTCAGATTCTTTTGGTTTGTTTTACAGATTAAAAACTTTATTTGAGTTTTCATCTTTAGAAGTTCACGGGGGGGGGGGGGGGGGGGGGGTCATTTGGTTGTCACAGTAACCACAAATCAAAGATAATGTCTGATGTTAAAGCCACACTATGTAACTTTCACAGGTCTGGACTCACTGGTCGGTCCGGTCTCGGTCTGGTCTCGGTCGGTCGGTCTCGGTCGGTCGGTCGGTCGGTCTCGGTCTCGGTCGGTCGTCGGTGGTCTCGGTCTCGGGTCGGTCCGGTCTCGGTCCGGTCTCTCGGTCGGTCTCGGCGGTCGGTTCACGGTCTCCGGTCCGGTCGGGTCCGGTCTCCGGTCTCGGGGTCGGTCCGGTTCGGTCCGGTCTCGGTCCGGTCTCGGTCCGGTCTCGGTCCGGTCTCCGGTCCGGTCTCACGGGGGTCTCGGTCCGGTCTGTCCGGTCGGTCCGGTCTCGGTCCGGTCTCGGTCTCGGTCCGGTCGGTCGGTCTCGGTCCGGTCTCGGTCTCGGTCCGGTCTCGGTCGGTCGGTCCGGTCTCGGTCGGTCGGTCTCGGTCGGTCGGTCCGGTCGGTCGGTCGGTCCGGTCTCGGTCGGTCTCGGTCCGGTCTCGGTCCGGTCTCGGTCGGTCTCGGTCTCCGGTCTCGGTCCGGTCTCGGTCCGGTCTCGGTCCGGTCTCACGGGTCGGTCCGGTCTCGGTCTCGGTTCCGGTCAGGTCCGGTCTCGGTCCGGTCTCGGTCCGGTCTCACTGGTCGGTCTGTGTCTGTGTGTTTCAGGCCGAGAGCCTCGTCCTCCAGATGCAGGACCCGAAATCCGGACTCAAGTCTCAACCCCAAAGACTCGTCACTCAACCACCACTCCCCCACGAACCCTGACTGAACCAGGACTACTAAACCAGGACTAAACCAGAACTAAACCATGAACCAGGACTGAACCAGGACTAACCAGAACTAAACCAGGACTGAACCAGGACTAACCAGACTAAACCAGGACTGAACCAGGACTGAACCAGGACTGAACCAGGACTACCCAGAACTAAACCAGGACTGAACCACTGAACAGGACTGAACTAAACCAGGAACTGACCAGGACTGAACCAGGACTGAAACCAGGACTGAACCAGGACTGAACCAGGACTGAACCAGGGAACTAAACCAGGACTGAACCAGGAACCAGGACTGAACCAGGACTGAACCAGGACTGAACCAGGACTGAACCAGGACCAGGACTGAACCAGGACTGAACTGAACCAGGACTGAACCAGGACTGAACTAAACCAGGACTGAAACCAGGACTAAACCAGGACTGAACCAGGACTGAAACCAGGACTGAACCAGGACTGAACCAGGACTGAACCAGAACTAAACCAGGACTAAACTAAACCAGGACTAAACGGGAACTAAACCAGGTCTAGACTCGAGGTTCTTGTGGTTTGTGTCTGAATCGTTTTTTGGAGATTCCCTCGACTTGGGGCTCAGACTGACAGGACGCCGGTCGCCACGGAAACGGGAGGACGGACGGTGATGGTGATGGGGGGGGGTCGTCATGGTAACGGTGCGGAGTCGGGGATGGAGAGAGAGAGAGAGAGAGAGAGAGAGAGAGAGGGAGGGAGGAAGAGGAGGAGGATGAAGAGGGAACCCGGAGTCGTACGTCACCGACTGTGGAGGAGGAAGTAAAAATATCTCCAGACCAAAACGAGAAACGTGGACTTCAGCTCAGAGCAGCGATTCTTCTGAAACACTTTCTCATCTCGCTCGTTTCCTCGGCAGAAACGGCAGAAACGTCTAAAAAATGTGAAAGGAGTAAAACAAACACGTGGATCTGTTTTGGACGAATAAAACATTTCCAAATCAGTAAAAGAAAAATGTTGATCTCAAAAAGTCACATCCTCCGTTTTTAAAATGCACAAAAAACACCGACAAAAATAGAAAATTAAACTAAAATGAATAAACATGAAATCAAAAGAGTCAAATCTATCACTTTTCTTGGAGTGATGATAAATGACAAAATTAACTGTAAATCTCAAACATGTACAGAAGAAAGTGTCTAAAATAATTGGAATTTTATATAAATTACATCAGTGTTTCCCAAACTTTTTTTTCTGTAGATTCATATTTTAAAAATCACAAACCTTCATGACCGAAGTCCACAGACGTTATCTGTAAATGATTAGTTAGTAGTAGTTACTAGTTGTAGTAGGATATTATCATTTTATTTATTTTTTAATGTTCGTCCTGCTGGTTTTGAGCATCGAGTCCCACATATGTTCATGTTCATGTCCCTGTTTCTGTTTTGCTTTTGGAAATGTTGCTGTTGTTGTATCCACAGTGTCGGGAGTAACAGATTACATGTACCTGAGTAATCAGAGTACAAATTATGAGTAATTGTTACTGTTTCAGTGAGTGGTAATTGGATTACAGTTACTTTGTTGAAATAAATGGATTAAACAGACGGATTTAACTGTTTTCACATTTTGGGCTAAATCCCTTTTTTTTTTTCTTTTTTTTTTCTCGGTGATTCTACTCATTGCTGGACACTAAACCAGGACTAAACCAGGACTAAACCAAGGACTAAACCAGGACTAAACCAGGACTGAACCAGGACTGAACCAGGACTAAACCACTAAAACTAAACCAGGACTAAAACCAGGACTAAACCAGGTCTAAACCAGGTCTAAACCAGGACTAAACCAGGACTAAACCAGGTCTAAAACCAGGACTCTAAACCAGGACTAAAACTAAAACAGGACTAAAACAAGACTAAATCCTGCTGTGTGGACGTGTTTCTTCGTTTTCTATCAATAATATTTTTTATTTGGTTCAGGAAAGTCTGGACTTTTTATTTTCTTTTATCAGATAAAACTTCTTATGTTACAATATCCTGGTCTTTGTTTCTCTACAGCAAATCAAGTAATCCAAAGTAATCAGATTACATTACTCACTTTAAGTCATTTAATGGATTCTGTTACAAGTTACATTTTGGTGTGTGTAATCTGTAATCTGTAGGGGATTACATTTTAAAAGTAAACTTCCCAACACTGTGAACCCGGCTCAAACAAATAAATTAATGAAAATGAAAAATGACAGAATATTTGATGTGAAGTGTTTTTCGTTTAGTCGGTGACGGCGTTTTTTGGGGTTTAAAAACACAAAAATCTGAAACCACCTCCAGGGTGGAAAAGTTGAACAGGCTCCAGCGTAGAGCTTCTGTCGACACCAAGACACAAAACTCTGGTCAGATGAGCTCAGGTCGTGTACGAGTTTACGTCACAAACAAACGTGGATCATTTCTAATATCTCGAATAAACAGAGACTCTGTTAGTGACAGAGAAGATCTACAATCACCTCTGTCCCACTCTGGACGCACCAGGTCGTCTCAGTCGAGTCAGACCAGTGGACGGTGGGACGACTTTGTGGAAGGAGGAGCTGATGAAAATGTGTGGAGTGAAAACTTCTGTGTGTCCAAAGACGCAGTTGTTGATTTAAGAACAAACACACACAATCCAGTTCACACACACTTCAGATTTACTCCTGAAAACACTCGACTAAACCTCGTCCTTCTCGTCCTGAAAACAAATCATCTGTTCATGTTCTTGTCCGGTTCCACAGCAGCTTTAAAATCTCCAGCTGCTCGATGCTGCTTCTGTAAACTCTGGAGATCACAAACAAGTTACATTTAAGTGGAAATGTGAATAAAAAAAAACTGATTTCACAAAAAAATCCAATTTGAGCTTTAAACCTGCAGACTGAACACAGTGTTTGATTTGATTGTTCTACAAACTAAATGTTTTATTTTACAGACGAGTACAGACGTCTTCTGAGTCTGTGTGTTCATTTGTTTTTCAAAATAAAACCAAAAAAAACCAAGAAAAAAAAAACAAATGTTTGTCTCCAAAACCAAAATGAAAACAACGCAAAACAATTTGTTTTTGTAAAGACCATTTTTCTGAGACCAGGACCAGATCAGAACTGAGTCCAGGACTGAGACTGGGACCAAACCAGGACTGAGACCAAGACCAGGACCAGGACTGAGACTGGTTTAATCCTGTTTTAGTCCTGGTTCAGTCATTATCCATTTTATTAATTTAAACACAAAATCAAAAAACTGAATCATTATCTGTTTTTTCATTTTGGTTTTGGAGACAAATAATGAAGAAAATAGTTGTTAATTTTCTTATTTTTGGTTTTATTTTGAAAGACAACAAACAAACAAGCAAACGACACACAGACGACTCCTGCCGCAGCACCAGGAGGTTCCCGGTTTGATTCCCGCTCCCGTCTCTGTCTCTTCTCTGTGGGTTTGATGGACGTTTCTCTGGTTTGTTTGTGTTGTTGTGTTTCAGGAGAAGACATCGTGAGCTGGTTATCTGAGCGCTTCAACATCGACGCGACAGGTACGCCCCTGCACCTGTCCACTGTGCATACACCTGTCTCTGCACCTGCACCTGTCTCTGCACCTGTCCTTTGTGACTCTCTCCTGTCGTTGTTCAGTCGTTTCGTTCTCATCATTTTGTGTTAAAGTTTAACAAATCCTCAGACAGAGCAGTGCCTCCTGTTAGCGTCACACGTCCAGGGACATTGACGACATCAGGTGTAAAATCCCGTACTGTCTTTATTCCCTCAGAGGCGCGCAGTGTGGGCTCCATGCTGGTCGCCCTGGGTTACCTGTACCCGCTTCAGGACCACAAGAAACTGTCAATCAAACCGGACGCTTCACTCTACCGCTTCCAGGTACAACACCTCACCTGTCACCTCACCTGTCACCTCACCTGTCACCTCACCCGTCACCTCACCTGTCACCTCACCTGTCACCGTCACCTCACCCGTCACCTCACCTGTCACCCTCACACCTCACCTCACCCGTCACCTCACCTGTCACCTCACCCGTCACCTCACCTGTCACCTCACCCGTCACCTCACCCGTCACCTCACCCGTCACCTCACCCGTCACCTCACCTGTCACCTGTCACCTCACCTGTCACCTCACCTGTCACCTCACCCGTCACCTCACCTGTCACCTCACCCTGTCACCTCACCCGTCACCTCACCTGTCACCTCACCTGTCACCTCACCTGTCACCTCACCTGTCACCTGTCACCTGTCACCTGTCTCACCTGTCATCCGTCACCTCACCTGTCACCTCACCTGTGACACACACCTCACCTGTGACCTCACCTGTCACCACTCACACCTCACCTGTGCCTCACCTGTGTGACACACCTCACCTGTCACCTCACCTGTCACCTCACCTGTGACCACACCTCACCTGTCACCTCACCTGTCACCTCACCTGTGACCTCACCTGTCACCTCACCTGTGACCACACCTCACCTGTGCCTCACCTGTGACCACCCCTCACCTGTGACCTCACCTGTGACCACACCTCACCTGTGACCTCACCTGTGACCACACCTCACCTGTGACCTCACCTGTGACCTCACCTGTGACCACACCTCACCTGTGACCTCACCTGTGACCACACCTCACCTGTGACCTCACCTGTCACCTCACCTGTGACCACACCTCACCTGTGACCTCACCTGTGACCACACCTCACCTGTGACCTCACCTGTGACCACACCTGTGACCACACCTCACCTGTGCCTCACCTGTGTGTCCGTGTGCAGACGCCGTACTTCTGGCCGGCGCAGCAGTGGCCTGTGGAGGACACAGATTATGGTCGGTACAAAATAAAATCTCTGGACATTGGTTTAAACATGACTAAAGCTGCACTGCGGAACCTTTCTGTCACTTCTTTTGCAGCAATCTATCTCGCAAAAAGAAATATTCGCAAAAAAGGTCTCCTGGAGCTGCACGAGCAGGTGACACACGACACACGACACACGACACACGACACACGACAGTTCAGGATCATCAAAAAACTGAAATAAATGAAATAAAAGTTGATAAATGTGTTTTGTGTTTTGTGTTTTGTTTTCAGGAGCAGTACAACCGACTGCACAAGTGGATGAACCACAAATGGGATTTTATCGTGATGCAGGCGAAAGAACAGTACAGGTCTGAACCAGGACTAAACCAGGACTAAACCAGGACTGAACCAGGACTAAACCAGGACTGAACCAGGACTAAACCAGGACTAAACCAGGACTAAACCAGGACTGAACCAGGACTAAACCAGGACTAAACCAGGACTAAACCAGGACTAAACCAGGTCTGAACCAGGATAAAATGCTGTGTGTCTTGTGTCATGTGTCGTGTGTGTTGTGTGTTGTGTGTCGTGTGTCGTGTGTGTCGTGTGTGTTGTGTGTTGTGTGTTGTGTGTTGTGTGTCGTGTGTGTTGTGTGTCATGTGTGTTGTGTGTTGTGTGTCGTGTGTGTTGTGTGTTGTGTGTCGTGTGTCATGTGTGTTGTGTGTTGTGTGTCGTGTGTCGTGTGTGTCGTGTGTGTTGTGTGTCGTGTGTCGTGTGTGTGTGTGTGTGTGTGTGTGTGTGTGTGTGTGTCATGTGTGTTGTGTGTCATGTGTGTTGTGTGTGTCGTGTGTGTGTGTGTGTGTGTGTCGTGTGTGTTGTGTGTTGTGTGTCGTGTGTCGTGTGTGTTGTGTGTGTCATGTGTGTTGTGTGTTTGTGTGTCGTGTGTGTCGTGTGTGTGTGTGTGTGTGTCGTGTGTTGTGTGTGTTGTGTGTCGTGTGTGTTGTGTGTCGTGTGTCGTGTGTGTTGTGTGTCATGTGTGTGTGTGTTGTGTGTGTCGTGTGTGTGTGTCGTGTGTGGTGTGTGTTGTGTGTTGTGTGTCATGTGTGTGTGTGTGTTGTGTGTGTCGTGTGTGTGTGTGTCGTGTGTGGTGTGTGTTGTGTGTGTGTGTGTGTGTGTGTGTCATGTGTGTTGTGTGTTTTGTGTGTCGTGTGTGTTGTGTGTTGTGTGTCGTGTGTCATGTGTCGTGTGTGTGTGTGTGTGTGTGTGTGTCGTGTGTCGTGTGTGTTGTGTGTGTGTGTGTCATGTGTGTGTGTGTGTGTGTGTGTGTGTGTGTGTGTGTCGTGTGTGTGTGTGTGTGTGTTGTGTGTTGTGTGTCGTGTGTGTGTGTGTGTGTGTGTGTGTGTGTGTGTGTGTGTGTGTGTGTCGTGTGTGTGTGTGTGTGTGTCATGTGTGTTGTGTGTGTGTGTGTGTGTCGTGTGTGTGTGTGTGTCGTGTGTGTGTGTGTGTGTGTGTGTGTTGTGTGTGTGTGTGTGTGTTGTGTGTCATGTGTGTTGTGTGTGTGTGTCATGTGTGTGTGTGTTGTGTGTGTGTGTTGTGTGTCGTGTGTGTGTGTGTGTGTGTGTGTGTCATGTGTGTTGTGTGTGTGTGTGTGTGTGTGTGTGTCGTGTGTGTGTGTGTGTGTGTGTGTGTGTGTGTGTGTGTGTGTGTGTGTGTGTGTTGTGTGTTGTGTGTGTGTGTCGTGTGTGTGTGTGTGTGTGTGTGTGTGTGTGTTGTGTGTGTGTGTGTGTGTGTGTGTGTGTGTGTGTGTTGTGTGTTGTGTGTGTTGTGTGTGTGTGTGTGTGTGTGTGTGTGTGTGTGTGTGTGTGTGTGTGTGTGTGTGTGTTGTGTGTGTTGTGTGTCGTGTGTTGTGTTGTGTGTGTGTTGTGTGTCGTGTGTGTGTGTGTGTGTGTTGTGTGTGTTGTGTGTTGTGTGTTGTGTCGTCGTCCCCTCGGCTCAGATGAAGCTCCCGTTGCCGTGGTTACAGGCTCCATATCTGTAAATCTGCCCGCGAGTCTCATAGCAACACAAGAGCCAATCACGATGGAGGAGGTTAAATGTCCCGCCCCCCTCACCGGAAACTCACTGTTGTGGACCAAAAAACCTAAAAAACAGACTTAAAGCGAGAGGAGAAATGAAAAAAAAAAAAAAAAAACCAAAAGAAACTAAGAGAAAACTGACTGAAAAAAAAAACAAACGTCAGGTTCACGAAACGATCTGTCCGAGTCTGACAGGAGAACTGAGCTTTTATAACACTTACCTAGCAACCAAACACACCAGCTGTCAATCAAACCTGTTGCCAATGCGAGTGGGAGGGGCCTCGGGGAGGGGAGGCGTCTGATTGGTCCGTTATTTCTGTTCAGATCTGGATTTAAGAACAGAACGACCAGAGGCAAGCTCAGGTCACAGCTCAGGTCACAGCTCAGGTCACAGCTCAGGTCACAGGTCAGGTCACAGGTCACAGCTCAGGTCACAGCTCAGGTCACAGGTCACAGCTCAGGTCACAGCTCAGGTCACACAGGTCACAGGTCACAGCTCAGGTCACAGGTCACAGCTCAGGTCACAGCTCAGGTCACAGCTCAGGTCACAGCTCAGGTCACAGCTCAGGTCACAGCTCAGGTCACAGGTCACAGCTCAGGTCATCAGTGTGATCCAGGTGTTTTTATTTTGTCAATAAATAAATTCCGATTCCCCAGCAGCCAGAGGCCCGGCTCAGCTCGCCTCTCCACAGACCTGACCCGTGACTGGACCTGACCCGTGACTGGACCTGACCCGTGACTGGACCTGACCCGTGACCTGAGGCGTCGCTCGTCTGAAGTTCAAATGAAACTTTTTGTTTTTTCAGAGCAGCAAAGGAGCGAAAAAAACCCGACCGAGTCGTGTTCGAGTGTCAAGAGAGAGCGTACTGGACCGTCCACAGACCCCCGGTGAGTCCAGGACCAGACCGGGACCAGGACCAGACTGGGACCAGGACCAGACCAGGACCAGACTGAGACCAGACGGGGACCAGGACCAGACCGGGACCAAGACCAGGACCAGACCGGGACCAGGACCAGGACCAGACTGGGACCAGGACCAGACCGGGACCAGGACCAGACCGGGACCAGACCGGGACCAAGACCAGGACCAGGACCAAACCAGGACTAGGACTGAACCAGGTCTAAACAAGGCCTAAACAAGGCCTAAAACCAGGTCTGAACCAGGTCTGAACCAGGTCTGAACCAGGTCTGACCCAGGTCTGTATGTGTGGTCTCTGCTCCTCGTCGCCTCCTGCTGGTCTCATTAGCGTCGTTAGTCGACCTCCTGTGGCCGTTAAAGGTTGAACTTTATTAATATTTTATTGACACAAACGTGACGACACAAATCTGCACATCTAAACCAGGACTAAACCAGAACTAAACCAGGTCTAAACCAGGACTAAACCAGGTCTAAACCAGAACTAAACCAGGACTAAAAGTGCAGAGTGTGTTTGTGCAGCCGGGGACGGTGAGTGCGATGGACTACGGCCTGGACCGAAGAGCCGACCCCAACACAGAACAGGTACCAGGTGAGAACAGAAACTCTCCTCTAATGTGGTTTACACCGAGACTACATGTCCCACAATCCTCTGCTCTAATGTGGTTTACACTGAGACTACATGTCCCATAATCCTCTGCTCTAATGTGGTTTACACTGAGACTACATGTCCCACAATCCTCTGCTCTAATGTGGTTTACACTGAGACTACATGTCCCATAATCCTCTGCTCTAATGTAGTTTACACTGAGACTACATGTCCCACAATCCTCTGCTCTAATGTGGTTTACACCGAGACTACATGTCCCATAATCCTCTGCTCTAATGTGGTTTACACTGAGACTACATGTCCCACAATCCTCTGCTCTAATGTGGTTTACACTGAGACTACATGTCCCACAATCCTCTGCTCTAATGTGGTTTACACTGAGACTACATGTCCCACAATCCTCTGCTCTAATGTGGTTTACACTGAGACTACATGTCCCATAATCCTCTGCTCTAATGTGGTTTACACTGAGACTACATGTCCCATAATCCTCTGCTCTAATGTGGTTTACACCGAGACTACATGTCCCACAATCCTCTGTTCTGTTCTGTTCTGCTGTAGTTTCCTGGAGTTGTGTTTTTTTGTTTCACACACAAACCTGCACATTTAGTTCTGAGTTTGTCTTGAACATTAAATCTCCCTCAGACTTTTGTTCGCGTCTCGGGTGGAAACTGCAGACGTGTAAATCCTCACTGACCCAATATTCAGTTTTAATCAGATTATAATTGGTAATCTGATTAGGCCTTCACCTGCCCGTCCCTGCCCGTCCCTGCCCGTCCCTGCATGTCCCTGCCCGTCCCTGCATGTCCCTGCCCGTCCCTGCCCGTCCCTGCCCGTCCCTGCATGTCCCTGCCCGTCCCTGCCCGTCCCTGCCCGTCCTGCCGTCCCTGCGTCCCTGCCGTCCCTGCCGTCCTCCCTGCCCGTCCAGTCCTGCCCGTCCCTGCCCGTCCCTGCCCGTCCCTGCCCGTCCCTGCATGTCCTGCCCGTCCCTGCATGTCCCTGCCCGTCCCTGTCCCTGTCCCTGCCCGTCCCTGCCCGTCCCTGCCCGTCCCTGCCCGTCCCTGCCCGTCCCTGCATGTCCCTGCCCGTCCCTGCCCGTCCCTGCATCCCTGCCCGTCCCTGCCCGTCCCTGCCCGTCCCTGCCCGTCCCTGCCCGTCCCTGCCCGTCCCTGCCCGTCCCTGCATGTCCCTGCCCGTCCCTGCATGTCCCTGCCCGTCCCTGCCCGTCCCTGCCGTCCCTGCCCGTCCCTGCCCGTCCCTGCATGTCCCTGCCGTCCCTGCCCGTCCCTGCCCGTCCCTGCCGGTCCCTGCCCGTCCCTGCCCGTCCCTGCCCGTCCCTGCCCGTCCCTGCCGGTCCCTGTCATATCGGTGCTGTTGTTGTTTTCCAGTTTCAGATTAAACTCATGTTTGTTTGTTTGTTTGTGTTTTTGTCTCTGCAGATTTGACCTTCTGAGATCCACAAACTGTAAAACACTTTCACTTTCAAACTCATATTTTCCTTTTTCTTTGTCTTAAAAACCTGAAAAACAAAACAAGTTCATTTGAAACAGTTTGCAGAGTGTTTCCTCTCCCACCCTGTGATGTCATCAAGTGGGAGATTCCAAGTGAACAGCTCAGACTGAAAAAAACAGGACTAAACCAGGACTAAACCAGGACTAAACCAGGACTAAACCAGGTCTAAACCAGGACTAAACCAGGACTAAACCAGGTCTAAACCAGGTCTAAACAAGGACTAAACCAGGACTAAACCAGGACTAAACCAGGTCTAAACCAGGACTAAACCAGGACTAAACCAGGAATAAACCAGGTCTAAACCAGGACTAAACCAGGACTAAACCAGGAATAAACCAGGTCTAAAACCAGGACTAAACCAGGACTAAACCAGGACTAAACCAGGAATAAACCAGGTCTAAACCAGGACTAAACCAGGACTAAACCAGGACTAAACCAGGTCTAAACCAGGTCTAAAACCAGGACTAAACCAGGACTAAACCAGGAATAAACCAGGTCTAAACCAGGACTAAACCAGGACTAAACCAGGACTAAAACCAGGTCTAAACCAGGTCTAAACAAGGACTAAACCAGGACTAAACCAGGACTAAACCAGGTCTAAACCAGGACTAAACCAGGTCTAAACCAGGACTAAACCAGAACTAAACCAGGACTAAATTAGGTCTAAACCAGGACTAAACCAGGATGGAACCAGGACTAAAAAAGGACTAAACCAAATCCAGATGTGTGAAGGTGTGTGGAGTTTAAAAACACAGTGGAGCACTTCCTGTATCACCACATGATGACATCACAAGGTGGAACAGAGTGTTTCTTGTCTGAGAGAAGAACTCGTGCTGAACATGAGACACAGTTTAGTTTAATTGTTATAATATTTTTTTTTGACATAAATGTTTGTTGGTCTGGTTCAGGCGCCGAGTCCAGACGTCTACGAGAGAACAGTGAGTCTCCATTCTTCTTCACACTTTTACACTTTTATGACCCGGTGTCTCATGTGTTTGTGTTTGTGTTTGTGTTTGTTTGTGTTTTGTGTTTCGTTTGTGTTCAGATGATCTTCACGCAGCAGTCCATCATGAGGCCCCGAGTCAAGTCGTCCGTGTCTCTGGGAGCGTGAGTACAAAACATCAACACGATAAAAACACAGTTGAACTTTTCTCTTCTGTTCCCGTGTCGGAGTCAGAGTCTTGAAAAAGTCCCTCGATACATTTGTGTCTCTTGTGTCGTGGATCTGGTCCTTCGGGTCATGACCAGAGGTGAGGGGAGGAACAGAGACTCAGGTCCTCTTCACCACAACGACCCATACAGCGACCGCATCACTGCCCACGCCGCACCTGTCCACCTGTCAGTCTGCCACACCGTCCACCTGTCAGTCCACCTGCACAGCACCTGTCCACCTGTCACTGCCCACTGTCCCACTGCCCACCTGCACCTGTCCACCTGTCAGTCTGCCACACCTGTCCACTGTCACTGCCCAGCTGCACTGTCCACCTGTCCACCTCTGCCTGCACCTGTCACCTGCCAGTCTGCCACCTGCACCTGTCACCTGTCACCTGTCAGTCTGCCCACGCTGCACCTGTCCACTGCCCACCTGCACCTGTCCACCTGTCAGTCTGCCCACACTGCACCTGTCCACCTGTCAGTCTCACGCACTCCATCCTCCCCTCACTCGAGAACAAGACCCCGACACTTGAACTCCTCCACTTGAGGCAGAGACTCTCCGCCCGGAGACGCCAAGACGCCTTTTTCCAGTCGAGAACCTCGACCTCAGATTTGGAGGAGCTGATCTTCACCCCAGACGCTTCACACTCGGGTCAAACTGCCCCAGAGCTGCAGGTCCTGGTCTGATGGAGCCAACAGGACGACATCATCTGTGAACAGCAGAGATGATCCTGTGGTCCTCAGACCCTCCGACCCCTGACTGCCCCAGAAACTCTGTCCATAAAAACAATGAACAGAACCGGTGACAGGGGCGGCCCTGGCAGAGTCCAACATGCACCAGGAACAGGTCTGACTTACTGCAGAGACACAGCTCCTGCTCCGGTCACACAGGGACTGGACCCCAGAGACACAGATGAGTTTCCTCCGCAGGGCGTCCGGGCGTCTCCCTTAGAGACAGAGTGAGGAGCTCGGAGTAGAGCCGCTGCTCCTCCACGTGGAGAGGAGCGTCTGAGGGGAGGACGTCTGTTCTGATGTCTCCTGGACGTGTCCCTCAGGAGGTGTTCATGTCCCACCGGGAGGAGGCCCCGGGGAAGACCCAGGACACACTGGAGGGACGATGTCTCTGGACTGGACTGGGAACACCTCAGGTCCCACTGGAGGAGCTGGAGGAAGTGTCTGGGGTGAAGGAAGTCTGGGAGTCTCTGTTCAGACTGATGCCCCTGAGACCCGACCCCAGAGAAGAAGAAGAACATGGATGGATGGACCTCAACACACAGACCACGATACGATACACACCTCGATACAGTGCAGTTTCGATTTGATTCGATATATTTCAAATCGATTCGATAAGGTTCAATTAAAATAAAGTCTAAATCATGTGTGTGACACTAAAAGTCTTTGTTAAATCACGTCTTGTACAAAGTTCAAATGAAACACAAACATTTAAATCGTCAAAACAGAGAAAATGTCAAATGTGTCACATAAACGAGTTTCCTTCCACCAAACAAACTGGAGCTGGAACTAAATCATTTAGTCAAATAAACCAAAAAATCCTCTTGGTGATCGATACAACAAAACATGATATCGATACTGAATCATCACATTAATCCAAATGATATTTTGATATTTTTCCACAGCTCTGCTCCCGTGTGTCCTGAGGTCTGTGTGGTTCTTCTGTGGTCCAGGTTCTTCACATGTTTCTCCTCGTTCTTTGGGATCAGCTCCACAAACTCCTCACATGAATCAGTTTAAAACTCTCACGTCTCTCAGGTTCAACAATGGAACCAGTTTCTGACCAGAACTAAACCAGGACTAAACCAGGACTAAACCAGGACTAAACCAGATCTGAACCAGTCAGTTTCTGTTTGATGTGGAGACTTCCTGCAGGGCTTCTCATGTTCTGATATGTTCTAAAGTTCTGGTATGTTCTGTTTCCTTCAGTCTGGTGAAACACTGCTCCACGTACCTGAGCCACGACCCGTTCCTGTCCCGGTGTTTGCCGTCCAACCCCTGGCTCACGGACGACGCCACCTACTGGACGCTCAACATGCCCAAGTCTGTGCCCGTCACATTCACATTTATCTGCTTTAACTCCAACACTTTTACACATGTTTAAAGTCGAACTATTGATCCTTTGCAGTGACGTCACTCTGGGGGGGTTCTACATCTGTGTGTATAGTGGAATGTTCAGCAGTTACCATAGAGACACAACACACAAATGAGGAAACGCAGCCAAAAAGGTTTAAAATCGACTGGAAACTCTTGAAAACTCCCAAAGTGATTTAAAAACACGTGTTCATGTTTCTGTGACGTAATGTCATCGCCAAATCTTCAACCAACAAACTCCACAAAGGAGAAACATTCTTCATGAACAATTTATCCACAACGATCAAGAGAAGAAAGAACAAAACTTAAAGAAACAACGAGTCACATTAGTCACACAACAAACTCAACTCATGTTCTGCTCCTGGAGACGTGGAGCATTTAAACGTCACAAATCTTTGTGACTAATGTGTCTCGTTGTTTCATTTAAAGGTTGTAGGAGGATTTTTTTTGTTTCAAATTGTCAGTGATAGATTATAGATGCAGTCGCCTTGTAATTATGATGACCAAAAAAAAGAGAATAAAAATTCATCAACTCTGGACGTGGTGGAGCTAAACATTTGCCAATAGATAACGACACTGCCTCGTTATCTGTGAGCTGACAGGCTGTCAATCAAACTCCCTACGTTTCTAGTGTAACTGACTTGCCTGCGCCGCCGGTACGTGGTTTACAGTACGCAAGACGCACAGACGCTGTTTACTCCACCAACGCAACAGTTCTTAGTGGCTTTTTTGACCTATATCTTCCTCGCAGTTTCAGCACAAAGTTTGTTGCGATGGCGACAAGAATCCAGGAGCAGTTTGCCCCAAAAGAAAGTCTGTTTTTTGAGGTCGTTGAAAGAAGAAGACAAGGGGAAAAGCAGCGAAGCCAAACTAAGGTGATTCTTGTAGATTCATTCCAGCGATGGTGCGACTGAAGCAGACGAAGGGACTAAAGACTGAACCACTGGTCCACAAATTACTCCTGGACAGGAAACTTCTGCTTATTATGAAAACCTACTTTATTTCCAAGAGTGAGACAAACGTTTTTCAGGACACGAAAGCGATATCCTATGTCTGAAAACGTAATTTTCAAGGCAAAGAAAGAGTCCCGCCTGCTGCTGCGTGTTGTAGTAGGAGCTTCATTCGCACTGAATCTCCGTGCAACCTTTACTGCTCCTCCCCTCGCTCCTCACTTCTCCGTCTTGTCTAACCAACACTGTAGTTAGTTGTTTACAAGTCATGTGCAGCGGCTGTAAACAAACCTGTTTGTGGCGTAAAGAGGAGGCGGGAGGAGGTGGTTTCACGCAGGAGCAACATTTGAAAAAGGACAAACAGTCTCTGGATTCTCCTTCCTTGGAAAATCCTCTTCAACCTTTAAGTCTTGTTCTTTCTTCTCTTGATATTTGTGGATAAATTGTTCATGTTAGAATGTTTCTCCTTTGTGGAGTTTGTTGGTTGAAGATTTGGTGATGGAGCAGATTTATGAAGATGTATGAGTCACAGAGCTTCAGACAGAGCAGTGCCTCCAGTTAGCATCACACCCCCAGAGAATGTGGATGACGTCAGCTGCAAAGGACCAATCAGAATCCACTTTTTGAGACTTGAGTGTTGAAAATGTGAGACTGAAGTTTCCTGAAACGTTCTTCACCTCTGATGTTCTGAAGTGTGGAGGTTCCGACCAAACAGCGCGTGGAAAGATGGAGCTTCAGCTTCGGAGAACTTCTGTCCGACCCACGAGGACGAGACGACTTCAGACTGTTTCTGAGGAAAGAGTTCAGCGGTGAGACCAGGACTAAACCTGGACTAAACTGGACCGAACCAGGACGAACCAGGACCAGGAAGAACCAGGACCGAAACCAGGAAACAGGACTAACCAGGACGAAACCAGGACTGACTAAACCAGGACTAAACCAGGACTAAACCAGGACTGAACCAGGACTAAACCCGGAACCAAACCAGGACCGAACCAGGACTAAACCAGGACCAACCAGGATCAAACCAGGACTAAACCAGGACTGAACCAGGACTGAACCAGGACCGAACCAGGACTAAACCAGGACTAAACCAGGACTGAACCAGGACTAAACCAGGATCAAACCAGGACTAAACCAGGACTAAACCAGGACTAAACCAGGACTAAACCAGGACTAACCAGAACCGACAACCAGGACTAACCAGGACTAAACCGAACCAGGACTAAACTGGAAACCAGGACTAAACCAGGACCAAACCAGGATCAAACCAGGACTAACCAGGACTGAACCAGGACTGAACCGAACCAGGACTAAACCAGGACTACCAGGACTAAACCAGGACTAAACCAGGACTAAACCAGGACTAAACCAGGACTAAACCTGGACTAAACCAGGACTAAACCAGGACTAAACCAGGAACCAGGACCGAACCAGGACTAAACCAGGACCAAACCAGGATCAAACCAGGACTAAACCAGGACCGAACCAGGACTGAACCAGGACCGAACCAGGACTAAACCAGGACTAAACCAGGACTGAACCAGGACTAAACCAGGACTGAACCAGGACTAAACCAGGACTAAACCAGGACTAAACCAGGACTAAACCAGGAACCAGGAAACCAGGACTAAACCAGGACTGAAACCAGGACTAAACCAGGACTAAACCAGGACCGAACCAGGACCGAAACCAGGACTAAACCCGGACCGAACCAGGACCGAACCAGGACCGAACCAGGACTAAACCAGGACTAAACCCAGGACTGAACCAGGACTAAACCAGGACTGAACCAGGAACCAGACTAAACCAGGACTAAACCAGGACTAAACCAGGACTAAACCAGGACTAAACCAGGACCGAACCAGGACTGAACCAGGACTAAACCAGGACTAAACCCGGACTAAACCAGGACAGGAACCAGGACTGAACCAGGACTGAACCAGGACTGAACCAGGACCAGGAAACCAGGACCGAACCAGGACTGAACCAGGACTAAACCCGACCAAACCAGGACCGAACCAGGACGAACCAGGACTGAACCAGGACTGAACCAGGACTAAACCAGGACTAAACCCAGACTAAACCAGGACCGAAACCAGGACTGAACCAGGACTGAACCAGGACTAAACCAGGACTAAACCCAGACTAAACCAGGACCGAACCAGGACCGAACCAGGACCGAACCAGGACTAAACCAGGACCGAACCAGGACTAAACCAGGACTGAACCAGGACTGAACCAGGACTGAACCAGGACTAAACCAGGACCAAACCAGGACTAAACCAGGACCAAACGAGGACTAAACCAGGACTAAACCAGGACCAAACCAGGACTGAACCAGGACCAAACGAGGACTAAACCAGGACTAAACCCGGACCAAACCAGGACTGAACCAGGACCAAACGAGGACTAAACCAGGACTAAACCAGGACCAAACCAGGACTAAACCAGGACCAAATGAGGACTAAACCAGGACTAAACCCGGACCAAACCAGGACTGAACCAGGACCAAACAAGGACTAAACCAGAACTAAACCTGGACCGAACCAGGACTAAACCAGGACTAGAAACCAGGACTAAACCAGAACTAAACCAGGACTGAACCAGGACTAAACCAGGACCAAACCAGGACTAAAACCAGGACTAAACCAGGACCAAACCAGGACTAAACCAGGACCAAACCAGGACTAACCAGGACTAGACCAGGACTGAACCAGGACTAGACCAGGTCTGAATGTTCCGTGTGGTTTCAGGGGAGAACTTGGCGTTCTGGGAGAGCTGTGAGGACCTGAAGTGGGGAGCAGCCGCGACGATAAAGGAGAAGGCGGAACACATCTACAAGTACAAATACTTCAAAAACTCATACAAATACTTCAAATACTCACACAAATACTTCAAATACTCACACAAATACTTCAAATACTCACACAAATACTTCAAATACTTGTTCAGTCCTGGTTTAATCTTGATTCAGTCCTGGTCTAGTCCTGGTTTAGTCTTAGTTTATTTATTTTATCTCATACAGAAACATTTTTACTAACGAGTTCAGTTCAGTCATTTAGAAAGAAAAAAAAAAAAAAAAAAAAAAAAAAAACTTTTTTAAACTCACATGAAAAGATTTACCCGAGTCATGAAAACAAACACCAGTCAAAATAAAACAGCTCCATCTGTTGGAGGCACAACAAAACTGCAACAATGACTCCCTCTGCTGGCCACAAAGAGTAATCACACAGAGAAACTAAACCAGGACTAAACCAGGACTAAACAAGGTCTAAACCAGGACTAAACCAGGTCTAAACCAGGATTAAACCAGGTTTAAACCAGTACTAAACCAGGACTAAACCAGGTCTAAACCAGGACTAAACCGGGGCTAAACAAGGTCTAAACCAGGTCTAAACCAGGACTAAACCAGGACTAAACCAGGACTAAACAAGGTCTAAACCAGGACTAAACCAGGTCTAAACCAGGATTAAACCAGGTTTAAACCAGTACTAAACCAGGACTAAACCAGGTCTAAACCAGGACTAAACCGGGGCTAAACAAGGTCTAAACCAGGTCTAAACCAGGACTAAACCAGGACTAAACCAGGACTAAACCGGGGCTAAACAAGGTCTAAACCAGGACTAAACCAGGACTAAACCGGGGCTAAACAAGGTCTAAACCAGGACTAAACCAGGGCTAAACCAGGATTAAACAAGGTCTAAACCAGGACTAAACCAGGGCTAAACCAGGACTAAACCAGGACTAAACCAGGACTAAACCAGGACTAAACCGGGGCTAAACAAGGTCTAAACCAGGACTAAACCAGGGCTAAACCAGGATTAAACAAGGTCTAAACCAGGACTAAACCAGGGCTAAACCAGGATTAAACAAGGTCTAAACCAGGACTAAACCAGGACTAAACCAGGACTAAACCAGTGTCTTTAGTGGAGTATAAATATCTTCACGTCGCAGTCGTCGATTCGATCTCCGCTGATGTTTTATGTCATAAAAACACTAAAGTCTCTCTCGGTCTGGTTCATGGTTCAGAGAAAAGACGGGACGTGTCTCTTGTTTCCAGGGCAACAGACGTCCTGGACGAGTCAAGTTTTTTTCTCCCGTTGGTCCAAAATGCTCGTCGAGGCGTCTGAACTCAAAGGAAAAAGCCCCAGGTCGAGGCGTCTGGGGTTTGAACTCACCTTTACGAAGTCGTTTAGATCAATATTGAAATTTAAAATGTCACAGTTAAAACAGAATGATCCACAGGGCTCAGAGATTTTCATTTTTCATTTCATTTAATTTTTATTTTTAATTTTTTTTCAGCAAAGGTACATTGCAAAGATAGGGAAATGCACATGTTCATGTTTGGGATCATTTCTGCTGCTCAAAAGGACGAGGAAAGTTTAAAAAACCTCATGTCCCACCACAACTGTTTTACCTTAACACATGGTGCTGTATATATGTGTGTGTACATCAAAAAATTTAAAGAAGGCACAAAAGTTTAGCGTTTATGATTGTACAAAATAAACCACTATGAGAATGAAAAAATATGATTTTTTTTTCTTGTTTATGATTTCACAAACTAATAATAACGACAATGACAATAATTATGACAAGTGCAAACACTACGGGGCTGATTTAAAAATAAAAGTTGATCCAAAACTGTGCACAGCTTTTATTTGAGTTTTGGAAAATGTGCAGAGGTTCCAAAGTAAACCCTGACCCCAGCGAACAGAGGCTGAGTGAACCTGGTCTGGACTCTGTGCAGGAGCCTTGTGCTTCTTCCAGAGACGCTGTAAAACTTCAAAATCCCTGCAGCCTGGTCCAGGAAAACACCCACTGTGGCGCAGACCTGGACCTGAGGCCGGACCTGAGTCAGGGCCAGAGATCTGGGACTTGACTTTATTAAACCAAAATACATACCCAGCTTTGTTACGCTCTAAAGCCCAGGATTTATCATTGAGTCCAAATCCACATTCATCAGAATTTCCTTTCCTCTGAATGTCTCTGTATGAAACGGCGATGCGCAGCCACCCGCTCCACTGCACCTCCCAGTAACAGCGCTCCACCAGACGCTCCCGGCTCAGGACCTGCCTCCAGTCGCTGAATCTGTCCGAATGTTCTGGATGTCCCTGGTGTTTGGTCATAAGTGTGACTCTTCTGTTTCCCGTCCGACAGAGAGAGCCACGTGTGAGCCGTGTTTGGGTCCAGAGTGATTTCTGTAAAATACGGTAAGAAGTCCTCTCTGGACCAGGTTTCATCTGGTGGCAGTAAAACCGGGTCTGGTCTCTGGACTGGTCCCTGGTCAGGTCTCTGGTTCAGTCTCTTGTTTGGTCTCTGGTCCAGTCTCTGGTCCTGTCTTTGGTTCGGTCTCTGGTCTGAACTTTGATCTCGACCTGGGTTCGGTCTCCGGTCCAGTCTCTGGTCTCTGGTCTCTGGTCTGGTCTCTGGTCCAGTCTCTGGTCTGTTCTCTGATCTGGTCTCTTGTCTGGTCTCTGGTCTGGTCTCTGGTCTGGTTTCTGGTTTTCGGTGCAATCTCTGGTCTGGACTCTGGTCTCTTTTCTCTGGTCCACTCTCTGGTCCAGTCTCTGGTCTGTTCTCTGGTCTGTTCTCTTGTCTGGTCTCTGGTCTGGTCTCTGTTCCAGTCTCTGGTCTGTTCTCTTGTCTGGTCTCTGGTCTGGTCTCTGGTCTGGTCTCTTGTCTGGTCTCTGGTCTGGTCTCTGGTCCAGTCTCTGGTCTCTGGTCTGGACTCTGGTCTCTGTTCTCTGGTCCACTCTCTGGTCCAGTCTCTGGTCTCTGGTCTTGGTTCTGGTCTGGACTCAGAATGAGCTGGAGTTTGTCCCTGAGTTTGGACACGGCTCTGGTCAGGTCCTCAAAGACCCTCGTGTCCCGCGTGTGGACGGAGACGGTCTCTGAGCTCGGTGTGTGTGGGGACAGTGAGGAGTGGAGCTGGATAAACCGGTTATGATCCTGGGTGAGTTCCAGCGTGTCCAGCTCAGAGAGGCTCTTCTTCAGCCCCGTCGCGTCCTCCTGCAGATGGTCCTGGAGCTCTTGGACTCGACTCAGTTGGTTCTGCTCCTGGGAGCGGATCTGCTGCTCCACTTCAGCTCGTCTCGTCTCCAGGAGAAGGACCATGTCTCTGAAGTCGTCCCCGCTGCGCTGCACTGCCGTCTGGGCAGAGCGGCTGATGTCCTGGGCCTCCTGCTGGAGCATCTGGAGGTTTGTCTCTATGAGCTGGAGGTTCTGGAGCAGCCGGGCCCTCGTGGGCGGCAGCTGTGCCTGCCTCTGGTCCCTCTCTGAGGCAGACGTCACCAGGTCATGACCCTTGTGCTGCTCCACAGAGCAGAAGGAGCAGAGCAGCTGCTGGTCGCTGCGGCAGAACAGATCCATCACTTTGTCGTGTTGAGCGCAGATGTTCTCCTGGAGCCCGTGAGACGGCGCCACCAGCTGGTGTTTCTGTAACACTGCAGCTTCATGATGAGGCTGTAGGTGGCGCTTACAGAACGACATGACACACTGTGGACAGGACCGGACGGCTCTGAGCTTCCTCCCCGTGCACACGTCACAGGACACATCCTGAGGCCCGGCGTAGCAGCGAGCAGCAGGGGGCGCCGTCCTCTTCATCTGCTCTACTAAACCTGCCACCATGATGTTTTTCACCAGGACGGGCCTGGGGCTGAAGCTCTGGCGACATTCAGGACAACTGTAGAGCTGCTTCTGGTCCTCCTGGTCCCAGTGCTGCTGGACACAGTCTCTGCAGTAACTGTGTCCACAAGGAACCGTCACCGGATCCTTCAGAAGATCCAAACACACGGAGCAGGAAAACGCAGAGAGGTCGAGTTCTTTCTGCGCCATCGCACCAGATCTTATTTTCACTTTCTACAAACATGAAACTTGTTCTGAGGAATGTGTTCGCGGAGGAGGAAGCAGCTCTTAAAGGCAAACACACACACACACACACACACACACCTTTTGTCAGTTTGTCAACAGTTTAAAGTGACAGAGAAATACAAACACAAGAGCTCAGAAAGGAAAACAGAACGGAAAAAGGTGTGGCCCAGGTCTAAAAGAGGTCTAAACCAGGTCTAAACCAGGTCTAAACCAGGACTAAACCAGGTCTAAACCAGGTCTAAACCAGGACTAAACCAGGTCTAAACCAGGTCTAAACCAGGTCTAAACCAGGACTAAACCAGGTCTAAACCAGGTCTAAACCAGGACTAAACCAGGACTAAACCAGGACTAAACCAGGACTAACCCTCAGATCTAAACCAGAAATGGTAATGCAGTGTTTATTTATGTTCAAAAGCAAATACTAAAGTGAGTTTGAGAGAGATTTGTGTGAGGCTCAACACTGATTCTGATCCCACGAGGAAAAAAAAAACCTTTGTTCAGACGATCTGTGACATTAAACAGTCGAACTTTCTCTTTTATTCTTCTGTTCTCTTGTTCTGTTTCGGTGTCGATACCTGTGAAAAATGAGAAAGAATTTTAATTTATTTCCATGTTTTGTTTTGTTTTTCCTTCAGGACGTTCTTGGCGCGTGGAGCTCCTCGTTGGATCAACATCGACGGAAAAACGATGGAGATCACCATAAAGTCCCTGAAGCACCCTCACAGATACGTGCTGGACGCGGCGCAAACTCACATTTACATGCTCATGAAGAAGGTCAGTGAACGCACCACGTCTCGTTCAGGTCTGACTCCTCCAAAACACTAAAGATCATTACATTTAGATTTCACTAAAACGTTACTATTTTATCCCCCAGTTTGGCCATTTTTTAGGTTTTACTTCACTTGAAAGTCAGGACATCACACAGGAAGTCAAATGAAACAGAAAACCCACACCAAAGTTCTTGTAGAGGAGCAAATGCAAGGAACAGCAATTTAAAAGTGAAAAAAAAACCGCATAGCACACTTAGACGGCCGATGTCCAAAAGATTTAGTTTTTATTTTTAAATTACGTTTGGGCAAAAAAACCTTCGTCAGATCATTTTCTTGCTTTGGACCACAGTTCACAAAATGGTTGCCAGCCCAGGTCCTTGTGTCCACCAACGAACAGGAGGTCAAAAAGTGAGATCAGCCCACTCCACAACAAGAAAAAACTGTTTACATAAGAAAATTCTCAAAAATATTCTCATAAAATATTTACATAAAATATTCTCAAAAAATATTCTCATAAAAATATTTACATAAAATATTCTCAAAAAAATTCGCACAAAGATATTTACATAAGAAAATTCTCAAAAAAATTCTCTTAAAAATACTTACATAACAATATTCTCATAAAATATTTACGTAAAATATTCTCAAAGAATATTGTCATAAAATATCCTCATAAAATATTTACATAAAATATTTACATAAAAATATTCTCAAAAATATTTATGTAAAATATTCTCAAAAAATATTCTCATAAAATATCCTCATAAAATATTTACATAAAATATTTACATAAAATATTTACATAAAAATATTCTCATAAAATACAAAAATAGTTTGACCATATCACAAAAATCAGCTCAGGTCAAAGTCCACACTAAGTCCATGAGGAGCACTGAGGTTCCGTCTTCGAGCTTCGTCCTGGATTTGGCTCAAGCTGAAAAACAACTTCCGGGTTTTTCAAGACTCGTTTTACCTTCAGAAACTCGGAGACCCTGTGGGCACACGGTCCTCACGTCCTCACTGTCCTCACTGTCCTCACTGTCCTCACTGTCCTCACTGTCCTCACTGCACGTCCTCCTGTGACTCGTACACGGTCTGTCTGACTGAGGAAACGTTTATTTATCATGAAGATGAAATCAAAGAAAGCAGATGTTTGTGTGGAGATAAAGAACAGGAAGTCCCACAGTGAGGTCAGCCCACTCCACAACAAGAAAAAACGGTTTACATTAAATATTCTCAAAAAAATTCTCACAAAATATTTACATAAGAAAATTCTCAAAAAATATTCCCATAAAATATTTATGTAAAATATTCTCAAAAAATATTTTCTTAAAAAATACTTACATAAAAATATTCTCAAAAATATTCTCATAAAAGATTTACATAAAATATTCTCAAAAAAATTCTCACAAAATATTTACATAAGAAAATTCTCAAAAAATATTCTCATAAAATATTTACGTAAAATATTCTCAAAAAATATTCCCATAAAATATTTAAATAAAAATATGAAATATTCTCAAAAATATTTTCTCATTCTCATATAAAAGTCATTTCTCCATCAGTTCTGGCCTCCTCAGTTCGACTGGATGCTACAACAGTAGAATCAGTCCGAGTTTAAGTTTCTTCTGTTTTATTCATGATCTTGACATTAGTTTTGTTCAAGTGAAACTTGTGAATATTTTTTGTAAAGTCTCATGTGAAAAATATTTGTAACTTGTCGTGTGTTTTGATCCAAAGCAGAGTGTGTCTGTGTTTTCAGGATTCTTACGGACGATACCTGAAGTCTCCAGTTTTCAAAGAGACTCAGAGAAAAGCCCTGAGCCCCGAGGAGCACAAGTTCACGTACGTCAGGAGACACACTGTGTCCACTGTGTTTTTAAATTCAACACACCTTCATTAGAATCACCTGGATTATTTCAGTCCTGGAGTCTCTACTGAAGTAAAGGTCTAGGATTAAACCAGGACTAAATCAGGACTAAACCAGGACTAAATCAGGTCTAAACCAGGACTAAATCAGGTCTAAACCAGGACTAAACCAGGACTAAATCAGGTCTAAACCAGGTCTAAACCAGGTCTAAACCAGGACTAAATCAGGTCTAAACCAGGACTAAATCAGGTCTAAATCAGGTCTAAATCAGGTCTTCAGGTCTACACCAGGTCTACACCAGGTCTACACCAGGTCTGACCCCGGTCTCTGTCCTCAGGGACTCGCAGCTGGAGCAGAACGCTCGCAGTCGCCGCCCGAGTCTGAGTCCGATGGTCCTGAGGCAGCTGGAGCAGGAGAGAAGAGCCAAGATGGCGGCCGCCGCTCCGGTCGACATCACGCAGGTCATGAGCAAACTGAGCCGCCGACCTCAGTGACCCGCCCGACCCAAACGCCGACCTCAGTGACCCGCCCGACCCAAACGCCGACCTCAGTGACCCGGCCAAGACAAACGCCGACTCTGAAAGCGCTCGAAGTCATGCTTTTATTTCAGTTTTTTATGTTTAGAAGAAACAAAAATCTGCTTGTAGAGATTTTATTTTAAAGAAACAGTTTTGATCATTAAATCATGATTCATCACATTTTTATTTCTGTGTTTCCATTTTAGAGTTTGTTTCTGTCGTGTTTTCTCCTTAGACTCTGAGCTGCAGGTCTGACCCGGAGGACCAGACTTTCAAAATCAAAAACTGGGACAGTCTCAGTTTGATGTTTGAGGGGAACAGAGGTGGGACCAAGTCTTTGTTTTGCAAGTCTCAAGTAAGTTTCAAGTCTTTGACCTCAAGTCCGAGTCAAGTCCCAAGTCAAATACAGGCAAGTCCAAGTCGAGTCTCGAGTCACTGGCCCATAAATCCAAGTCAAGTCCAAGTCGTCTGCTTTGAGCTTCAAGTCATTTCAAGTCTTAAAACCAAAGCACCAAGCTTAGATTTTTGCAGTTTATATGAATTTTTATCTAAATTATTCTTAAAAAGTCACTGTATATTTATATTTATATTTATATTTATATTTATATTTATATTTATATTTGAGTTTTTATGTAATTTTCCTTTTTAAACAAGATCTGAGTGTGAATCATCACGATCAGAACAGAAAGAATTCTCAAATCACAGGCCTCAAGTCCAAGTCAAGTCCCAAGTCTTTGTCTATTTTGTCAAGTCAAGTCTCAAGTCCTAAAAATAGTGACTCAAGTCTGACTCGAGTCCCACCTCTGGTTGGTAATAAAACTGAAACGGGAGAAGAATCGGTGGTTTTCAGATTCTCTCAGACGGACACAAGACACAGATTTTCTTATTGGTCACGTTGCATTTTGTCATGAAATATTCACTTTTTTCACAACAGCCGAAGTGCAGCAAAGTAAACGTCACTTCCAGTTCATGTTTTTCTGTGTAAATTTGTGTGTAAATGTGTCAAAAGTCATTTGTTTGAGTATTTGTTTGAGTATTACTCATGTTGGTGCTTGTGAAACTGTTTTCTTTAACGATTCACTCAATTCACAGTTGTGTTTTCACCACAAACCAGGACTGTCCCGTTTTTTTATTTTGAAAATCTGGTCGCTCCGTTTAGAAGGTTCCAGAAGGAAAGGGAACAGCAACGTGTGAAGCTGAAGTGTGAACAGAAGAGTAAAAACAGAAAACAGAATGTGAAAAGTCTGGAAATGTAAATAAGTCTCTGTTCAGTCTGCAGGCTCCATGATCAATTCTGATTTTTTTTTTTTGTGAAATCGGATTTGTTTTGCGACGTCTTTCACATTTCCAGTTAAATGTGACTTGTGGGTCAGTCCACCTCAGTTAAACCCAGTGAGTTAAACCTTGGTTTACAGGGAAATCACAGCCAGAAAAAGACCAAATTTAAAATTTTAGTTTGATAGAACCAAAGGTTTCCAAGATATCACCAGTGTCGGGAGTAACAGATTACATGTACCGGAGTTATGTAATCAGAGTACAAATGATGAGTAACTGTATTCAGTTACAGTTACTGTTTCAGTGAGTTGTAATTGGATTACAGTTACTTTGTTGAAATAAATGGATTACACAGAGGGATTTAACTGTTTTCACATTTTAGACTATATCCCTTTTTTTTCTTTTTTCTTTTTTTTTTTTTTTTTGGTAATTCCACTCATTGCCGGACACTAAACCAGGTCTAAAACCAGGTCTAAACTACGTCTAAATTAGGACTAAACCAGGACTAAAACCAGGTCTAAACCAGGTCTCAAACAGGATTGAATAAGACTAAACTTCTTCTATCAATAATATTTTTTATTTAGTTCAGTAAAGTTTGGACTTTTTATTTTCTTTTATCAGACAAAACTTCTTATGTGAAGATTTTCTCGTCTTTGCTTCTCTACAGTAAATCAAGTAATCCAAAGTATTCAGATTACATTACTCACTTTAAGTAATGTAATGGATTATGTTACAAACTACATTTTGGAGTATGTAATCTGTAATCTGTAGGGGATTACATTTTAAAAGCAACACTCCCAACACTGGATATCACAATTAAATTTTTTCCACAAACCGTTGCTCTGATAATGCAAAAATTTTAGATTTTGATTTTCGTGGCTGTGACGTACTGTATTTTCCGGGCTGTTAGTCGTTCTGGATTATAAATCGCACTGTTATAAAATGGTCTTTTTTCAAACTTTTTTCACAAATAAACGGCGTGGGACTTTAAATGAAACCCAACAGTGTGATGTGTGAGTGGTTTAGTTTGTTTGTTCGTTCACGGTGACTCTGGGTGTGTTCAGTTGTGGCGTGTAGGGAGTAGTGTCTGTCGCTGGATTGTCGTCGTGTTCAGTGACTCAGTTGTTCAGTCGTGTCTAGAAGCGGCACGTTGCACTCGTCGCTTTTTCGGTTCGTTCCTCCGTTCCGTTCCTCATATTTTTAGCTCTTTTTATTGTTCTGTAAACGCTATAATCACCCGCAACAACAGATTAACGTGTTTTATAAGTTTCGGTTTTGCTGCTAAGTCGCTCCCCCTTCAGAGCGCCATCACAACACAATCACCGCCGTCCCTCTAACGAAACTACTGCGGTTTTCTGTCACGTTTTTGTATTATTCATGGAGAATTTTCATGTTTACCGTCGTATTTATGGAGAAATCTCGTACAGAGAGATCGCTAGATTACTCAGACACGCGTGGATGTCTCTAAAACCTCTTCAGACATGTTTTTTTTTAGACGATGGAACGTTAAAACATGGGAGAAAGCTCCAAAAATACCCCCGTCTTTAAGCACAGTTCTCCATTCATCTCGACAGAAATTCTAATCTTGGTAAACGGAATTTCAGTTTTTAATTTTAAAACTTTCGTGTAGGGAGTAGTGTCTGTCGCTGGATTGTCGGCGTGTTCGCAGTGACTCAGTTGTTCAGTCGTGTCTAGAAGCGGCACGTTGCGCTCGTGGCTTTTTTCGGTTCGTTCTTTCGTTCCGTTCGTCGTCGGCGTGGAGTGATGAGTGTGTCTGTGTGTCTGTGGGTGTGTTTCGTTGTGCGGTCGCTGTCTGCTCCGTGTGTGTTTGTGGCTTTGTAGTTTACTGAAGTCGTACTGGGACACCTGAGTGGATTCGCGTATGGGGCGTCTGGATCGTGTGGCGCAGTCGTTTTTTGATGCGGTTAGAGGCTTCAGAGTGCGTCTAATGACCCGGAAGATACGATACTCAAACACCAATTATCTTTACAACTGGACAATGTGTGGATTCAAATTGCAATGTTTTTGGGTGATCTTCAGTGTGAACTTTAAAGGTTGTATAGAGGATTTTTTTAAGGAAAGAGAAATCCAGCGACAGTCCTTTTTCAAGTGTAGTGCATGCGTGACACCACCTTCCTCCTCCACAAGTCCCTCTAGAAATAATTTAGAGATCGACACCTCAGTTTTTAGAGCCTTCGTCCGCTTCAGTCGCGCTGTCACTGAAAGGAATCTCCAAGAATCACCTCAGTTTGTCTTCGCTCCTTTTCTCCTTCTCTTCTTCTTTCAGCGACCTCAAAAACCGATTCTCGTCCGACATCGCAACAAACTTTATGCGAACTGCGAGAGCCACAATTAGAAAAAGCCTCTAAGAACTGCTGCATAGTTACCTTAGAAACGTAGGGAGTTTGATTGACAACCTAACAGCCAATAGAAAATGAGGCAGCCTCGTTTTCTATTGGCTGATGTTTATCTGGTCTCAACACGTCCACAGTTGATAGATTTTCTTTCTTTTTTTTTTTTTTCTGGTCATCATAATTACAAGGCTGCTGCGTCTCTGTAATGGTATTTTAAACTTTCATTGACAATTTGAAACAAATAAAAAAATCCTCCATACAACCTTTAAACCCTCCAAAAGTGTCCCGCATGAACAGTCGAGACACGTGTTTACAGAAGTCGCCTAAACTCTGGGCTCGTCTCCTAAAATCTGGTCCAGTTGTTGGTAAAATGTGCAGGTCACACGTCCACGACCGCTTCATTTGTTAGAATCTTTATCCTCCTTGTTTTTTCTCGCAGGTTCTTTATTTTTCGTTGACATTGGACATTTCTTTGACAATCATTTCAAAAACCGCCCACGTCCGATAAAACTCTGAGCCTGACGTGTCCTGAGTCACACTTGAACCCGTCAGATGTGTGAGGTTCAGAGGAGCAGAGTGACTCGAGGCTGCAGAGTGACTCGAGGCTGCAGACTGAACGGAGACCGAGTCTAAACAACCAGACTCAAATGTGGAACTGACTCCAGATCAGCTGCTGGAACTGCTGACCTCAGTGAGCTTCATTTCTTCATTTCACTTCTTTGTTCAGTTTAGTGTTTTAGTGTTTAGTCTGTTTCATCTTTTGTTTTCAGTTTTATTTGTTTGTGTTTGTTTCTGTTGCTTTTAGTTCAAAATAAAATCACTCTTCACTGTGTCACCGCAAACTCTCATCACTTCATTTAAACCAGGACTAAACCAGGACTAAACCAGGACTAAACCAGGACTAAACCAGATCTAAACCAGATCTAAACCAGGACTAAACCAGGACTAAACCGACTAAACCAGATCTAAACCAGATCTAAACCAGATCTAAACCAGATCTAAACCAGGACTAAACCAGGACTAAACCAGGACTAAACCAGGACTAAACCAGATCTAAACCAGGACTAAACCAGGACTAAACCAGGACTGAACCAGGACTGAACCAGATCTAACCAGGACTAAACCAGATCTAAACCAGATCTAAACCAGACTAAACCAGATCTAAACCAGGACTAAACCAGATCTAAACCAGGACTAAATCAGATCTAAACCAGATCTAAACCAGGACTAAACCAGGACTAAACCAGAACTAAACCAGATCTAAACCAGATTTAAACCAGATCTAAACCAGGACTAAACCAGATCTAAACCAGGACTAAACCAGGACTAAACCAGACTAAACCAGGACTAAACCAGACTAAACCAGGACTAAACCAGAACTAAACCAGGACTAAACCAGACTAAAACCAGGACTAAACCAGGACTAAACCAGACTAAACCAGACTAAACCAGGACTAAACCAGACTAAACCAGACTGAACCAGGACTAAACCAGGACTGAACCAGGACTAAACCAAGACTGAACCAGGACTAAACCAGATCTAAACCAGGACTAAACCAGATCTAAACCAGGACTAAACCAGGACTGAACCAGGACTAAACCAGGACTAAACCAGATCTAAACCAGGACTAAACCAGATCTAAACCAGGACTAAACCAGACTAAACCAGATCTAAACCAGGACTAAACCAGGACTGAACCAGGACTAAACCAGGACTAAACCAGACTAAACCAGGACTAAAACCAGACTAAACCAGGACTAAACCAGAACTAAACCAGGACTAAACCAGATCTAAACCAGGACTAAACCAGATCTAAACCAGGACTAAACCAGGACTGAACCAGGACTAAACCAAGACTAAACCAGGACTAAACCAGGACTAAACCAGATCTAAACCAGGACTAAACCAGGACTAAACCAGGACTAAACCAGGACTAAACCAGGACTAAACCAGGTCTAACCCTGATCTTTGACCTCAGTTGTGCAGGTTCACGACGCCGGTTCCTCACTTGGCCGTGTACTCTGGTTTCTCTGACTCCTCCCCCTCCTCTTTGCCCCTCCCCTCGGCGACGCCCACCTGTCCGTCACCCATCAGCGTCGCCCTGGAAACCACCTCGACGACAGAAGCACAAGACCCGCCCCCTCTGGCCTCCGCGACCCCGCCCCGCTCCAGGTTCGGCCTATCGCTGCGCAGGTTACTCCGGAGGGGGTGCGGCTCGTCCGGCGTCTTCGCCTCGCTCTCGCCCAAATGTCAATCGACGCCAGGGGGAGGGGCCGGCGGCAGGGTGCAGCCAATCAGCAGCGAGCAGCAGGGACAAGCCCCGCCCAGACGCTTTGGCAAGTGAGTGTCCCGACGTTTTACAGAGCGGCCGAAGTGTCTCAGTGCAGGTCTGCGCAACGTCCGGCCAACGGTTTCTGTTTTTAAAAACAGAGACATTTCTCTTTGTTTGTTTCCGTCTTTTACACGAAAACGTCAAATTCATCAAATTTACGTCAAATTTACACACACACATTTACACACACATTTACACACACACATTTACACACACACATTTACACACACATTTACACACACATTTTGTCACGGGTTCGTCCGAAATAAATGTAAAAATGATGGCTCAGTCAAAAAACTTCACTTAAGTGGGTTTTTATTCGCACCACAGCTCCAAGTGCAGAGTGAAATATTTACAGTGACAAAAACAAAAAGAGGATGTAGACAGAAGTATTTACAAACATATGTACACTAATCACTTACAGTTGCAGCACCCACGTAGTCAGGCCAAATACCCAACCCCCAAATGACTGGAGCTCCCTCCTTTTATACCCCCTTAGCCCCTCCCCCCGGGCTAACCAATTAACCAAAATGGGGTTTTAAGGAATTAACATAAGCAAAATTGTATTGAGGAACACAAATCAACTTGGAAATAAACATAATAAAAATAACTTAAAGAACCCCTCATAAGGTTAACATAAGTTCCATTAAACAACTTCAAAAACCACAAATGACCCCAAATAGACACAATGGTCGAGTCCACGATCACATGTCCCCCTGGAGCGCCACTATGCGATATTTAAAGCACAACCAGGAAGTGCCTCGGTTTGGCCCTAAACTCAAGAACGGCGCGGAGGCTGCTGCAGGTAGGAAAGCAGCACCTCGAACGCACGAGCCGGGAAACCGTTCAGATGTTGGGGAAAAACAGGACCGCGAGACACACGAGCTTCCTGCATAAACCAGACTAACGGAGCTTAGCTCCGCGAAACGGGGAGGGAAGGAAGCGTCGTGCTCTTTGGTAGTGATGGGCAGATGAAGCTTCATGAAGCATTGAAGCCTTTCATCCAGTTGGTTCACTCTGGTGCAAAGCTTCCTGAAGCTTCATTTGCTCTAGTAGGACGTCTACTGGATGCAAAAAATATCAGTTGACATGAATTTGAAGTGTGTGCTGCATTTTGCAGCAGAAAGCCTGTGAATAAAACTGTCAGCAAAGTAAAGAAGTATGTAAAAACATGTATATTGTAGTGATGTATACTGTGTGTGTATATATAAATATATATAAATATAAATACTTTTATATATATATACTGGCAGTATGGAAAATTATTATTTGGAACATTATGAAAAAGCTAATGATCATTTCCAGTGAGGTGAGGGGGGTTGGGGTTGGAGTTTGGACAGTGATTGTGCTTTTGTAACGTTGGGTGATTATGGTTCAGGGACACATCATTGGTTTTTATTTAAAAACAACAGTTTCTCCACTGTGGCAGGTCTCAGGCCATTTCTTTTTTTTTTGACAATATTTCTCCTGCTTTCAAAAACACCGGCTCACAGGGCACAGATGAGGCAGGCGGACACAAGAATGCCACTGCTAATTTATATAAATGGGGACAGACATATTTCTGTCTCTCCCAGTATTGAAGGGGGTCCTCCAGCCTTCCAGTATTTGGCTCCATCAGGCACCGTTGGACCTCAAGTATGTGCGTCTGCTGTTACATTTTGTGTTTGTGTCTGTCTGACTCTGTCGTCCAGGCGACGCCACAGGTTGTTACCTAAGAAATAAGAATTGTTTTTTTGTGAGTTTAAACTGTCTCCAAACTTCCAAACTCACTGATCGCAACTCTCCATCAAACACCCACATTTTGAATGAAGACTGAGCAGTTTATATCGCTGTCAAAAACTCGCGGCAAAACCTGAACCACTTCCTGAATCAGTCACGTGGTACAGCCGGGCAGCGAGGCTTCGGACGTCATCATTTTCAGCTCCTCCCCTAAATGAATC